TTTTAATTGATTTATTCGAAAGAACATAATAACAACAAAAATTTAATTCCATTTCGCTCTGAGTAACAAAAAAATAAAAACTGAATTAACTCCATAAATGGATGTTCAAAACTTAATCAACTTTTTGCTCCTTGTATGAAAATCTTTGTTCCTTATGAACTCCAAACAACCATATGGAATGAATTAGTCACTAGTGTAGTTGGTAATGATTCCCACTCGGATTTTAAGTCATTCTCCAGCTGCTATGTGTTTTAAAAAGGCGAGATGTGATTCTGTGCTTCAAAACGCCTAACAGCTTATACATGTGTGAGTTGCAGTGTTGCCAGAACTCCTTCAGAAAAACGTGCAAAATTACTGTAAAAAAAAATTAGTTGAAAAAAAGTGCTAAATTCAAATCATATTTTTAAAAGTCGATTAAGCTATGTTAAACTTATGCACAGGTCGCAATTTTTCACATAATTCAGTGATATGTATTTAGCCAAAAGCCTATTTAATATTGCTCAAATTGGCCCATGATTTGACTTTACCTATTCAAATATCCCTCTACAATATCTATAACAATATAAGTTTGTTTATTGTGCAATAATTGTAACAAATCTTTGTAAAAGTAAGCTTAATAAAATCCATGACAGAGTGTTATTTTGAGTTTGTAAATAAATCCAAGTTCTTTTATTGAATTTGGTGTCACTAAATGTTAATATTCTCCGAAACATTAAAAAAAACATTAAAAATTTTTGAAATATATAAAAACAAGTAAAAGTGTTATATTCGGCTATAACGAATGGAGCGTATATACTCCATCAAAACATGTTTTTCCAAAACTTACTCATTTATTAGATTTGTGCTAAAATTATATTATCGTGTATACGTAGTAATATGTACACTAGTGTGCATTAGACTTCGGAATACAATCTTAATGGTTTGGGCCACGGTCCGACATATATAAGGATGATGTTTTAAAACAAATCCTTTTTGGCGAATGTATCATGATACTAATATGTTTTCTTATTTTAACGAACCACAAAAAATTCTGAAAGAGCTTTAGATCCTATGAAATGTGATTTTGAAGAATTTTATGACATGATTTTTAATGTTATTAGCGCATAAGTCATTTTCAGAAGCGGGCTTGGAAATAATGTGGACTGATTCGTATGAAATTTGATAGAGTCATTAAAGATTCTATAAATCTTATTTAGATTGAATTTTATACAAGTAGTTATATTTTCAAGGTAGTTATGAGTGTTAAAGTCATTTTCTGAATGGGACCTTTTATAGAATGGGGTTAAATATGAAACTTGCAAAATTATATAGGGAAATTTATGTTGCTATTAAACTTGCTTAGGTCGATTTTAATTGCTATACTAATTTTTTATTAGAATTTAATATTTTTACTTTAAAAATTGGCATAAAAACAACAAAAATTCTAAGATAAGTATTTGTTGCTATTAAACATGAACACAACTGTTCCCACAAAACAATTTTTGGCGAATTCGTACCGAATTCATACCGACAGTCTGCACAAGTTGCCGATTTCGTATCGAAATATGTATATACATACATATATATAAATACACACACTTGTTAATTTTTTTGTTTTTTATACAAAAAACTTATGTTGAATTTTACCTTCCGATGTTTTTAAGCAATTTATTGATAAACAATTTTTTTTTAATAGGCTTTATATAGAAGATAGGGTGAAATATGGGCCGATCCTCATAAAATTTGGAGGAAGATTTTATTTTTATATAAAAGTTAGTTATGATGAATTCCATCGCGCTACTAATGGTGATAACCAGGGCAAGGATATCTATGCAAATGCATGTTTGTTGTCAGTAACTCAAAATAACTTTTAACTAGTTTTCTTTTCGAATCAAAGAATTTGTTACAAAATGGCATAGATTTTTTGTTGCATATTTTTGAATATTTTGCATTAAATTACATATATTTTCATATTTTCAACATTTAATAGCATATTTTGTGTTTTTTTAATATTTCTAAAACAAATTGTTTTGTCATACTTTTACAACAAATTTGGTATTTACATACATGTTTAGAATGAAATAAAACCATTATGGTGTTGTTGCTCATTTAAATTTTTTATATAATTAAAATTTATTTGATTTCTTTTATTTTAAATGCAATATAGAGAGCACCTGCAGCGTATGTCGCGGACACGCCGGGCGCGCTGGTTCAATCTTCTCTACCATATATTTTCAACACTTGACAATGGCGGTGTCATGAAATAACTCCGTATGATTTAACTCCCCAATTTAAAAATCAAGAAAACCTAAACGAAATGAAATAACTCCCTAAATTAATACAAATGAAAAAATAACAAATTATGGAACAATTCGTTTTTAATGATGAATGAAAGATTAATACATTTCAGTTTAATCGCTTAATAAAGACTTCTTAAATAGCAGGCCTACGGCCGGAAGCAAGAGCTTTCTTCTCTATGGTATGTTCAACAACAGCTTCGCTTAATAAATATTTCCTAAATAACTTCCCAAAGAAAAAACTCTCTAAAAATTTGTTCAGAAAGCAATAACAATGAAATTTGGGTATTTAATTCGCTTTTTGGGGCATTGTTTCACATTTAAAATGGGGAGTTATTTCATTATGAAATAATTCCTCAAAATTCAAAAATGAAATAAATCCCTAATAGGACGCAAGGATTTACCACTCTATAATATGTCCAACACCGGCTTCGCTTAGTAAAGAAGACTATGGCCGAACGCTATTGATTCAGAGGAGAAAATCCTTGCGCCCGGCCGAAGGCCTGCTATTTAGGAAATAATTATTAAGTGAAGCCGTTGTTGGACACAACATAGAGAAGAAAGTCCTTGTTGTTATTGCTATCTGAACAAATTTTTAGGGAGTTATTTAATTTTTTCTTTGGGAAGTTATTCACGGGGAGTTATTTCACGTCGATAATGTCAACTCAATCTTTTGCCGGCTAGGTATAATAATGGACCGATTTCAAAAATTAACAGCCTTGGTCTTTGGTGTAACAAACGCTAATACTCCAAATTTTGTTGAATTATCTTCAAAAATGCAAAAGTCGTGGTTCACCTTTTCATGGAATTGCCTTAAAATTTCACAAAACATCTACAAACGAAATTTTTGTAGTTCTTAAAATAAAATAAATTTTAAATTTCTTTAATTATAAAAAGTGAAAAAAAAAACATAAAATTAATTAACTTAAATTCTTTATATAAATTAAATAATAGTTAATTATGTTGAGTTTCATGGCGATACAAATGGTTACAATTCAATTTTAGACGTTTAAGACATTTTTTGAAGGGGGGTTTGTATGTGGGCTAGGGTCAAATAAGGGCCGATCATTACGAAAATCTGCAGTGTCATTTATACTTATATAAAACTTTTATAATTATGGCATAAAAAGCCCAAATCGGGAGGTACGGTTGTATGGGGGCTAGGTGAAATAATGGACCGATTTCAACCATTTTTAATAGGCTTCGTCCTTGTGCCAAAAAACATGCTTCATCAAATTGTCTTGAAAATTGCGGCCTGCACATTGCGCACAAGGTTTACATGGACAGTCAGCCAGGCAGCCAGCCGGACAGACGGACTCAAAATGTGATTCTGAGTCGATCGGTATACTTAAAGGTAAAGGTGTAGGACCAATATTTTTGTGTGTTACAAACATCAGCACAAACGTGTGATACCCTCCCCACTATAGTGGTGTAGGGTATAAATATACATAGATTTGAACTCAAAGAAGTGGAGAATTATAACTTTGTGTGATACCCTCCCCACTATAGTGGTGTAGGGTATAAATATACATAGATTTGAACTCAAAGAAGTGGAGAATTATAACTTTGTTTTTTATGAAAAAAAATAATGTAAAAAAAGCAACAGAATTAATAAAAAAGCATCCAGTTTTCTTTTATTCGATTAACCGAATAATTTTGAATTATCCGATTATTAACCGGCTAACTTTAAACCTTAAATAATTATTTGTCAAATAAACCGAATAAGTCAAAAACCCGAATAATTGAATACCCTAGTATTTAGTAAATGTTTAGACTACAATCATAATTTTAACTATAATATGTTGCTCTCAGAACATCCCAGCAAAAATTTTCATTACCTAGTAATCTAGAAAGTAATATTAGAATCACGTGGAAACTAATTACTTTTGGGGTGAATAACTAATTATTTTTGTTCGACGAGGTTCAAATAATATGTACCTACCTTAAAAAAATTAATAAATGGTTACTAATAAGATTACAAAAACTTTGCGAAATAACTAGTTACAAATAAACCTACAAATATGTTATGTGATAGCTAGTTATTTTGGGCCGACTTTGTATGTAGAAAACAAAAAATAAAAAAATTCTCGGCCGGTATTTGAACCCAGACATTCCGTTGTTTTCTATGTTTCTCACTCCAGCCGCTTACTCGATGCTCCATTAACATGTTGCTTTTTGTAATTTTGAGAACGGCTTTTTACAAAAATATATAAATTAATGTCATTTTGAAAAAAAATAAACAGTATCCAGCAGGGCTCGAACCACGAACCCCCTGTTTGTTAAATGAACGTATAGACAATTGAGCCATAACAAATCCAAATTGTTTTGTTCTTTACCAGTAATAACCTATTCAGCTAAATGAAATAATGTGGATGATTATGAACACTCATTACCAAGTAATATATGAAATAACTACTGGCTATTACCAAAAATTTCAGAGTTTTTGCTGGGATGGTTACCAGTTAATTTTGAAGAACAAAAAATTACCCTTTTATAGATTATAATTTACTCCGGGCACTACATGATAAATTTTAAGTTTTTGTATGTGCATGGGATGTAAATACAGTTTTTACTCGTTTATTCCATAAAACAGCCGAATTTCAAAAAAGTACCAAACACCAGTCCGCTTATTTTTTAAAATTAACCCTTTTATAGATCAAATAAAAATTATAACCAAACAATTTAAAAAAATATATCTAAACCCTATTATTTCTCTCGTTCTAGTTCTGTTAATCGCCGATGAAAATCGTGATATTAACATGCATGCTGAAGAAGATGTGAAAAGACAACGCCTGTCATACAGCGGAGATCAGATTTATTCAAATGTAAGCATATTGTTATATACTACAACATAATGTACCACTCTGTTTTATTATTAGAAGATAATATACATAGATATGTACAATAGGCTCGAAAATAGGCTTTTTTCTCGGATCAATTTCTAGTTCTAGTGAAATTTTAACGTCAAATGGAAGACTGTAAAATAGCGGGAAAGTATTAACGCCGGTAATGTTTGTAAATGCGTTAATATGGGAGAAAATTGTATTTTTATAGTTTTTTTTTTTTTGGTTTTTAATGAGGCCTTAAATATTAATTGTTGCACATTTTTTTTGCAAAATCATAATACCTATAAAATAATTTTTCCAAAAAGATAGAAAAACTCAAAATTGCTTAAACAACTTTTGAATTATTAAAATTTCCCCCGAGAATTTTGTGATTCTGAAGACACATAAAAGTAAATATAAGAAAAATTTTTTAGTTTTGAAAAATTTTACAAAAAAACATTATATTATATCGTAATGTATTTTAAAGTTTCAAATTCAAAACTAATTTGATATTGGTCGAAAAAATATATGTTTTTTAATTAAATTTCTATTGCTTTATACTTACCATGTTCCCACTGTGCTTGACGGTAAAAATATTTTTTGTTTACTACGAAGTTAACATGCTGTAGGCAGTCAAACAAGAACAATTATTTTAAACAAAACTTTTTGCAAATTTCATACAAATGCTTTGATAGTTTTAAGAGTTTTTTTTTAAAGATATTGAGAAGTTAAATTTCAAAGTTATTTTATATTGGGTGTGCTTTTTGAAAATTTATCACTCATTTCAGCAATTCTTCAATGATATAGATGATATTTGAAAGGCATTTTTTGTCCGTCCTTTGATTGTTACGAACGAAATATCTCTTTATTTAAAAATTGTTTTTTTTTTTGGTGAATGCAGATCTGGTCCGGTAAATGGTGTATAAAAGATGAGCATAAGCTACTTTCGGAATTAGGTACACTGACAACAAATGGCGGCAGCGTAGCAGCATACTATGATAGTCACAATGGATTCCCGCCTGCGGTGGCAACCGGAAATAATGATAGCATGCTGTATGACAGTATTACTACAATATCTCAAACACAGGGTTCTCTGTATACTCCCACTATAGGTGCATCTATTGGTAAGTAACTGAATGTTTAAGGTTTTAATCGTTCACTAAGCAAATCTTCGAAAGCTTTTTATTCTTTCATAAGAAATCGTATATTTGTGTGTGTGCGTGCATCTACATATAGTAAATTTTTATTAGTAAAAATGTTGTAGTAGTATTGGTCGTCTGACTAGCTGACAGTCAGTCAATATGCAGTTTTTATTTTTTTTCTTATTTCATATCTATTTTTGTTTATTAATTTTATTTTATGTTTCGTTTTGTAATGTTAGGCGGTTCTAATACCTTAACGCCCTTAGTTCCTGTCAGTATGCAAGACATGAAGGTAGGCTCTAGCTTGCATGATCAAGCTATGTCCCCATATTATACAGGTAAGCTGAAAAAGGTCTTTCTCCTAAGATTATAGTTACTAAGTATTTAATATAAAGAATTCGAAAGTATGGTTTATTTAGTTAAAGCTACTTACTACCCAATGTTATATGTAGCTTACTCTATGTTGTTTTTATTACAACGAGGAGTACGGATCGGATTAATACAATCATTATTTAAATTTGCAAATATGTATATCCAATGGAAAAAATTTCCAAAAGTTTTCTTAATTTGTTATAGAATTGTTACAGAATTGCACTTCTATATCAGGGCATAATTTGCCGGCGCGCCTCCATAACTAATGAAATGAAATATATAAATAGTATAAAAATATTACATTTTCGCATTGTGGTTTCAATTTAAATTTCCCATTCCTTAATATATTAATAATATTGTGCTACTAGCGGTTTTCATTATCTTATTATATATACTTGGGTGACCAGATCTCATAGAGAGGGGAAAATGTCGGAATCTTATTCGATTCCCCTCTCCAGATATTAAGAAATTTGAGCTCGATTAAACATCGTTAACTCGTGCCGCTCGTCGCCCAAAGTTTGAAAAAATTATATTTTTTGGCCAAAAAGCTGACATATGGAAATATAAGTGCTGAACGGTAAATATGTACATAATTGTTGCTATGTTAAGTCAAATTGAGTTACAGTAGGAGCATACTTGCATACTTCGTATATTTTGTTATTAAATGATAAATTTTCTTTTTTTGGGCATATTTCTAAGTTTAAATATAATAAGAAGCAAGTACTTACTACTGATAAGTCTAATGATATTTTGGGATATTATTTGCCGCTCTGAAGTTCTTTATCCATATGTTAGATTTTTGGCCAAAAATGTGTATTTTCCAAAACTTTTAGCGATAAGCGGCACGGGTTAACGTCGTTTAATCGATCTCAACATTTAAAACACCTTTAAAATTCTATAAAAATCTAGACGAAGATACTAAAATATATACATACACCTCAAAATGTTTATCTATAGTAGGGCCCAACTTGATTTCAAATTTCGTCATTAGATTTGTTTATCTTAATAATTTTAATCATAAGCTATAGTTTTTGTTGATAGATTAAAAACAAGGAAAATGAAAACAAAAACAATTAAGTAAAAGTTACACAATTCGTTTGTAAGAATATTTATTTGTTTTGAAAAACGTAAAATTATAAGCATTTTCAAGACCGCATTTCCCGAAATTAACAATTTTTAAATTGTTCAAATGCATATGTACATATATATTTTACAAATAGAAACTTTTGGACTATAGGTGTAATTTGTTATTACTGTTATTATTTCTTGATTTTGTCTTCTTTTCATTATGCTGTATATCATTATTTTATAATTTATGTTATTGCTTGTTTTGTTCTTTTTTATGTTCTATTATAATTTGGGCAAAAAATAAAAATCAAATAAAACTATAATTAGCCATTGCCCTTGAAAATAACAGCTATACAGCTCTTGGTCACATTGAAAATATTGTGAATAGTAATAACAATACGAATGCAATAGTGACACCACAACCACAGACTAGCGCTGGCGAGGTTTTGGATGATACAGCCACAACTGAAATTTCTTTGACCATCTTGGATACGGATGATGACAATGTTACAACTGTGGTGCCGACGGTTTTGCGACGTAACCAACATTCTCGCGACCCTAACGCAAGCAATGCTACAACAGTGAGTTCGATTAGTGGCGCAGCAACCTCGACGGCTACTTTGACAGCGTCAGAAACCACACATAACCTCAATAATACTAATAATAACAATAATAATAATTTAAGCACTAGATCTCAGAGTCATAGAAATAGTATTCAGCCTCAGCTACATCATCTCGAATCTCATCAAGATCAAACTCAATCTCAGACTCAAAATTCTGCAAATCCTACCTCACACATTTTAATGGCCCCTAGTGGCATCGTGGCAAATAACCCTAATATACCACCACCATTCGCATCTTCTAGTGCCAGTGCCACTGATATGACCGGTTATGCGACAACTACTACAACAATGTTGCCTAGTTTCAGTCACTATACGTCAGGCAAGTTATCATCGAGAACCATATTCAACATATGCATTTAAACTGTACTATCTCGAGACATTCGACCTCTTGTCAATAAAATAAAAATATATAATTTTCCCTTTCACTTAATTTAGTTTTTTATCTATAGAGATCTGCACAATTAGTTCATATATTCATCTTATTTCAAATGCACACACTCCTTTCTTTCTCCAAACTTCGGTCCATCTATATAAACTGTTAGAATTAAAAGGCACCGATTTGACATTTTTTCAATATACTTAGCTCACAAAACATACATACCTAAACATACTTATGTATGTGGGTTTGTAACTATTTCATACAACACATTTCTTAAAATATTTAATAATTTTTAATTTGATTTTTTTCATTATACAGCCTGTGGATCTGTTGTTCCTACTTCTGACTATACATATAGCCCCACATATTCTCAATATGGTAGTGCGTATGGATCATATAGCTATGGATCAGGCGGTGGTATTTTAAGTAAGTAAATTAAAAAATTTTATATTAGAAAAAAAAAAATAATTGTTAAAATAGAAAAAAATAGTAATTGTAAAAATAGAAAAAAAAAACACAAAACCACTAAATAATTAACATTTTGTCAACAAATAGCAAAAATATTTTTTTTTGGAAAATCTAAGTGAATATTTTGGTTATATCTTTTTTGATTTGATTCAATTAATTTTTAAATTGGGTTAGAACAATTTTTTGACCAATTTTTCTACAACATTTTTTTTCTATACAATGAATCTTCATAATTCTTAAAAAGTAGTTAAAAGTACATCTTTTAGACATAAGTAGTTTAAGTTTCTTGAAGTATTCCTTTAACAGCAATTCTTTTAATCAATTCTGACGTAATTCTTAGGAATTACGTCAAGGAAACTGCGTTTCTGAACATTTTCCATGGGAAGGAGCTCAGAAGAGGCCCAATAGATGCCTAGGTGTATTTCTTTGTATTTGTATACTACATCCTCCTATTAACCTATCACTATTTTGGTTAAAGATGAAAATTTTTACCATTAAAAATTTGAAATAAAGAAGAAATATTACACCCTTTTCCTAAATTGATCCATTTTGCATTAATAATCAGAAATCAGTAGAACAGAAAAATAATCAATATCAATTTTAATGTTTGCAAGCAATCTATTTGGTATAAACTTGTTTTACAATTTTTTTCTAACTTCAGTGTGTTTTTATGTACTTATTTCGAAAAATTAGAATTGAGTGGTGTAAAAACCTTAATTATTAAGCTGAAATTGTTGAAATATTTTTATAATTTAAGTCATTATTTGGGATTCATGTGTTTTGAAAAAATAAAAAAATATATCTAATGAATTTTTATAAATTTACAGATTCCTACTATTATGAAGGTGTACAAAATCAGTCTGTCAATACTACAGCTCTCAGTCAAGATATGCGTTCACCATTAGCAGCTACCAGAGCCAATTCTTTAGCATCAGCTGCTTCACCTACCGGCAGTGCATGTACGAAATCTGAGACGTCCGACATTTTCCTCGTCTAGTGATTTTTACATCAACTACGACAATACTCTTCTAGCTCCACAATAATAAACTTGTTTAATTAACAAAAACTAATACTTAAGTTGCACCTACAAGACTTTTATCATTTTATATGTACACATAAATACAAGGCATACATACTTCATATATTCATTCATATTATATAAATTGTAAAAAATAGTTAATTAATATATTTATTATACATATGTACATATGTATGTACATATTTAAACGAAAGATGGACTTGCGATGATATACTTTTATTACACCTACATATACCGCCTTACTTACACCCTGTTTAAAAAATATAATATAATAGAACAAATTTTGACATGTGGCATATGTAGATAAAACATGTAAAATGTTCGCCCAACTTTCTCGATTGTTTTCAATAATCAGGCCACATAAAATGTTTTATGAAACTAGTAACCACCTGGCAGTGAAATTCTTTTAAAAGAGTCTTTTATGAGACCATTTTGTAATCAGTTTCGACCCATTTTTAATTATTTTACGAATCACTTTTTGAGACATATTTATTGGTTATCTGAACGTAAAACGGAATCCTATTAAACTAGTTTTTCAAACAATGAAATGAATCAATTATCAGAAATCTTGTAAGCGAATGTTGATTATTTCAATAAATTTTGTCTTTTTGAGCTTTTCAACGTAAAAAAATAACTAAAACTTTTTTTTAGAGCATATATTTTGAGTTTTTACTGCATATTTAATGTGCTTAAAACATATTTTTGATTTCCCTGATAATCACTCAAAAAGCGATTCTAAGTAAATTTGTTGTAGAACCAATATTATACGTAAAATATCAGTACAACGCATCGGATCAGTCCATACTTAGCTTGCCATAAAGGCTTACATTCAAAAATGTTAATTCCGAGAAATTTATATAGAAAATGATTTTATGTATTCGGTGCAGGGTATTATATAGTCGGGTTTGGATTTATAATTTTGTTTTAAATGTGCCGGAAGTTCGTATGTTAAATGTAGTTTATATATTTTTACTTTTTAAATAGGATGATTTCAAACGGGGTTGCCGTCGAAATTAAATTTCTACAGCATTTTACATTTATGCCATGTAAACGAATAAAATGTTGTACAGTACTTTTGGCTTATAGTCACAACCCTTAATTGTACACAAATTGAGGACTATATCGCTAAAGTGATTATAAACAAAATTTTTGTATATGCCACAATGTGCTTATAAAGAAAATCTTATATATTCATTTTTTATGAATATAAAACATTTAAAATTCATGTTTATTAAAGAAATAAATATTATTTTCATAAATTCATTACATTAAAAAAATATTGTTTACATTCCTTAAAAAAATCAATAATTGTAGTCTGTTTAAGCTTGAGGATGTTGGTTACAGTTGTACCCTGCAAAAACTCGGTAATGGGTTGTACTTCCATAACCACTTACTTTTCAATGACTACTACTTACCGTCTGCATTACTTAGAAGTACTCTAGTAATAATTTTTTATAATTTGATATAGAAGTATATTTTTTTGACTTTGTCATTTTGTTTGCACATTTCATTTAATTGCGTGTTAAGAATTGTGTTTTACAAAAAAAAATTAGATTTGCATGTGAAAACCATTATTTGACGCGCAATAAAATGGCTAAGCAGTGGTGCAGTGAGTAGAACATTTAACTAAAAAACCAAAGTCCCTGGTTCGTATTCTAACTGTCTCTTTTTATTATAAAAACATAAAACAACTTACTAAATTTAAAATTTATTATTCTTTCTTAATCGAAAATCGTTTTTCTTTAACAAAAACTTCTGCCTTTGGAACGTTACTAGTTAAATCGATTAACTATTTTCAATATGCTTCGTCCTTGGGCCAGAAAAAAGCGTGTGTGCCAAATGTCATCCAATTATCATGAAAATATATATAATTATGGCCCATTGTCTTTAACGGCCTTCTTAAAAAAATAAGATATATGTATGTATTTTCATATGTACATATATGACAACACTGGTTAGTAAATTTGAGTTGGACATACCCAGCTAGCATTTGGAAGATTGTTGGATGATTAATCGGTAAACTGACTCATTTTTGACTCCTTTTGATGACCTAAACGTGATTATTAAGTTGAGCGCTTAAAAATGATTCGAAATTGATCCCGATATATGATTTAAAACTGATTATTTGAAAAACAATAACAAAATGTATAGCAGTCATAAATTGATCATCCTGGTGTTTAAAATATGATGGTTTTAAAAACTTATTTTGTGATCATATTTCGAGTAGTTGGAAGATCAAAAATTGTTTCTTGTGAAATTGTTTTTGTTTGCAATGGAATAGCAACACTTACACTTAAAAATGACTCAAAAACGATTCAAAAATGAGTCGAAACTGATTAGAAAATGGGCTCAGAAAAGACTCTTTTAGAAGAGTTGGCAAAAAAGTTTGTGTGGTCTAAAATAAGTTGATATAATTCTCATTTCGTTTATAAAATTAAATGTATAAGTATTTCAATTTGTGTAATATTTATAAAGTCGATTTTCAGTCAAGGAAATTGAAATTAAATTATGCTTTAATTATAATAATTTTATATGTTTAATGATCTTCTACGGAAGATAGTTGGGTGACTAATCACTAAACTAAGTCTTAATAATTCCCATTAATGTTTAAAATCTGATTTATTTGAAAAACAATAACAAAATGTACAGCAATCACAAATAGGTGCGCAATCACAAATAGGTCTTCCAGGTGTTCGAAATTTGATTGTTTCTAAATTTATTTTGTAGTTACATTTCGGGCACTCAGAAGATCAAAAAGTATTTTCTGTTGTATTGTATTTGTCTGTAACAATCATAAAAATTACCCAGAAAAGACTCAAAAATTACTATTATATGATTCAAAAATAATTCTAAAACGACCAGTAAGTCGGCTCATTAATGACTCAAAAAAGATTAAAAAATGAGTCAGAACTGATCAGAAGTGGGGCTCATAAAAGACTCGTTTAGAAGAGTCGCGGGTAGGGTACCATTTTCTCCCGACGAATGTATCATCTATGATCAGAAAATGAGCGCATATATGATAATTTTAATCGTGCAGAAGAGTAATATATGATTCGAATGTGATCAAAAACTTCAAAAAATGTTAGCTGGGATATGTATATCAGGGGAGCTCAAACACATACTATCATAGTTATACCCTACACTACTTTAGTGGGGAGGGTATATTGGGTTTGTGCTGATGTTTGTAACATATAAAAATATTCGTCCTATACCCACCTTAAAGTATACCAATCAGCTTAGAATCGTTTTCTGAATCGATTAAGCTACGTCCGTCCGTCCGACTGGCTGTCCATGTAAACCTTGTGCGCAAGGTACAGTTCGCAATTTTCAAGATAATTGCATGAAATTTGGCACGCAGGTTTTATTTGGCCCAATGACGCTTATTGAAGCCTATTGAAAATGGTTAAAATCGGTCCATTATTGCACCTAGCCCCATAGAACAGAACCCCTCGAAAAGGGCTTCTGAGCTCATAATTATGTAAAATATACAGGTATATCGATAAAATGTGGCACAACTAAGTTTTATAGAAGTCTTGATGACCCTGCCAAATTTCATAAAGATTGGGTCCCATTTGACCCTAGCTCCCATACAAAGTCCCCTTCAGAAAATTACTTGAATGTCCAAAATTAACTTATAAACACAAATATCGCGATGAAATTCAGCGCAATAAAATATTATGTAAATACAAATATATTCACAAAATTTTATCGGGCTTGGTCCATATTTGCCCCTAGCCCCCATATAAAGCCTCTTTCAGAAAATTAGTTTTTCATCCATAAATTGCTTAAATATATCGGAACAAGGTAATATTGAAGATAAATGCTTAATTATGAAAAATAAATCCCATTTAATATTCATAACTGGTGTAGGATATCATATGGTCGGCCACGCCCGACTATACTTTCCTACTTGTTTTGTGTTGGTAAAGCAGCAGAGACCCAGCAGTTCGACAAAGAGTCAATGCATACGAAAAAGACAGCAATTTCCACTAATAGTTAACCACCTGGATGATCGTAATTCGTATGTTTTGGGTCATTCGTCACGAATGTACCCTTTGTAATCGAGAATGAAGACAGTCGTCACTTTAGTGTCCTCTTTGTAAGCGGGAGCGGAGACAGTCGTCTCTTTACTGTCCTCAAGTAACCTAGAGATTATACTCTTAAAAGTTGTTTTTTTTTTTTGTTGTACTTCCGAAAGTAGTTACTTTACCCATCTTTTGGAGAAATGATTGTTACTTTCTACTAATGTGCCACCATCTGGTTGACTCAAATTTATATCTTTCGGGTCAATCGTCACATTATTGTCCCATAGTATTCTAGAGAGTAGACACTTGAAATTTTTAAATTTTAGTTCCATTAATATCTTACCACCTCCAATTCGTATGTTTGTGGTCTTTCGTCACAAATAAACTCTTTGTAAACTAGAATGAAGACAGTCGTCACTTTAGTGTCCCCTTTGTAAGCGAGAGCGGAGGCAATCGTCTCTTTACTGTATCTTTGTAGGGTGTAGAGTGACGATAGACTTTCTCGTAGGACAAGCCCATGTTAAAATGGTTGGTCACCTGGGTAGTCAGGTGGCTAGGGGCCACCACAAGTGGTAGGTTAAGTGGTCAGTTCGGGACTGTCTCGTCGAACTGCTGGGGAACACAATTCAACTCAAAATAATAGTATACTAATAAAATGACTTCAAACTATGGAATATATTCTAACTGTCAAATATTTATTGTGGATTTTTAAAGCCAGCGTATATTAAAGTCTGTATATAAAAAACTATTTTAAAAAAATCGCGCATAGACCTTATTTTGACAATTGCTGATCAGCAACTGATTTGATTTTGTTTTTCAAGTTGAGAACAAACCAACTGACGTTGCTCATTAAAAGAAGAAGAAATAAACTTACAGTGTAGGTGTGCCAACGTGTCGTCAACAGAATTTTCTTACCCTATCACGAGCATAGTTGCCAGATTTGGGTGTAAAATCGTCAAATTTCGAGGAAAAAATTGTCAAAATCGTCAACTGATTTTTCGAAATCGTCAAAGCTATTTTCCATTTATATAATATACATTTGATGGTTTTTTTACGATTTTATAGTAATTATTTTAACTATCGAGAAATAGATTTTAGTTTTGTTTGTTTGTTTTTTTGTACTTTTAGTTTGCTTAGCTGCATCTGCAGATAAGACTTCTTGGTCGAATCGAAAGATTATAACGCCATCACCAATTATTCCAGTATGACTGGACAGAATATCAAATTGAGTTTTTTTGGTTCTCCACCATAATCAAAATTAAAACTTAGGTTAAGTTAACACGAATACATATGGTCAACATGTACTTCAAAAAACCGTAACTCGGTACAGTTATTCCACGTCACACATTTGACCAATGCGGTTTGAAAAGTAAAACTCTCGAAGGCAGAGCAAAAAGAACGTCCTGATTCCCCTTAAGCGATAATGGCAACTACGCACGACGATCTTCTTCCACCCAGAGCTGAATTACGAATGCATTTGTTTATTATCTGTTTAATTTGGCAAATATGATTTAAAATACTTTACATTGAGTTCTTGCAAACTAACTTGGTATGATCTCTGGTAAATGTATGTATATTAGATGTTTCAATTATTCGTATGCAAAACAAATTTCCTCCTTTAAATCAAATGTCCAAAAACACTACTTCCTCTATCCTTCTTCCCACTACCAATTATTCTAGAACCAATAACCCCTAAATAAATTCTCAAACATTTTTGAGTTCGTTATTACGTAATTCATTCGATCAATGGACATTCTCTAAAACATTATAATGTTTCATTTTATTAACATTTTCATTGGATATTCTAAATACATCGATATTCTTAAAAATTATAAACAGAAAAATTATAAAATGTATTAAAATTAGTACAAAAATCTTATTTTAAATAATTGACAGTGAAAATCGTCAAAATGACGATAAATCGTCAAATCTGGCAACAGTGATCACGAGTGCTATGAAATCTCAATATTGAACTCCTCTGATGTATATTTAAAAGTAGTTTTTCTGCGTGTATGGTGTTTAACGTATGTATGTATGTAGCTCTAAAATTAAACAAAATTAAGAAGGAAATCTGTATTGAATAAAGTATCGTTAGCATTAATGTAATATACAAACAAAAAATCTTGAAATTTTTAATATGTATTTATTTTGAAAAAAAAAGTCAACGATTTGTATTTAGTAAAATAATTTTTAAGTTTATTTATACAAAACTAATATAATTAAATTTATGTAGCTATTCACGTCACAAAAACCAATATTATTGAAAAATCTTCCTTAGACTGAATTCCAGATATCTTCGGCCGAGTTATAGTTTTAAAAATAAATTATACGTAGGAAACTTTTTAAGCCTATTTACTCAAGCTATGTATATTAGGGTGTTTTTTCGGATTACTGCGATACTCAGTGTAATATTAGAACTGTGATTATATAAGTTAAA